TGAAAAAGAAGCAACAAAGACAATGGCTTCAAATTTCCTGAATATGGAGAGATAAAGGAACGATGTTAAAAACCCCAATAGACCTGAAAAATGTTTAACTTAAAATAGTTATGTAAGCAAACATTGAAGGGAGTCTGCACAGCTTGAGTGTGGAGAACACACCTCTGGAATGCCTTGACCTTGCCCAAATTCACTTTGTCATTCTAAAAACCAAAACAAAGCAAAGAAATCAAAAAACAAACAAACAAAAACCCATTATATTACATTCGTAAAACTAGCCCTCAAGATTTATTGTTTTTCATGGCCAATCCCTCCTCTTGAAGCTGACTATGAAGTTCCAGCCATCAAAGTATTGTGGTCCAACAATTAAAAGCCCTTTTTCCACCTAATTAACATTAAACGCCCAATTTAAATTAAACACCTCATGTTAACAGGGTGTTTCCCATTTTACATTTGTAAACCACCACTTCCCTTTGTGCAGTGTCTGTCTCTTCTCTCTTCAGAGACTGTCATCATGCCCCTCCCCCACCTCCAGGGCAAATATGATCTATGATCTATACCCCTCTCTTGTCCTTTTTCTCCCTTCTCCTTTGTTCCTTCCTTCTTCTCCCTTATCCTCTATCCCCTGTCTTTGTCCGTTATCCCTCCCCTCTGTTCTTCTGGGTTATTTAAATCTCCTTTGTGCTAAGAACTTGATATGAGAATTTCATCTTGGGGTCCTGAGCAGATACTTTCCTTTTCTTTTTTTTTTTAATCGTTTTTTTTTTTTTACAGTCCTGTCTTTATCCTGTTACCTTACCAGACTGCCCTCTAACTTTTCCTCATCCAGTACCTCCTCCCCATCTTCAAGAGGATATCCCTACCCCTGAGGACCCTCATCCCACCAGACCTCTCCAATCCCTGGGGCCTCAAGTCTCTCAAGCATTAGATTCATTTTCTCTCACTGAGGCCAGACCAGGCAATCTTCTACTGTGTATGTGTCAGGTGCCTCATATCAGCTGGTGTATGCTGCCTGGCTAGTGGCTCAGTGTCTGAGAGATCTCAGGGGTCCAGATTAGTTGACACTGCTGGCCTTCCTATGAAGATCACCCTCCTTCTCAGCTTCTTCCAGCTTTTTTTTTTCTTTATTTACATTTCAAATGTTATCCCCTTTCTCAGTTTCACCCTCCCCCAGAAAAACTCTAACCCATCCCCCCCCCTGCTTCTTTGAGGATGCTCCCCCACCCACCCATCCACCCACTCCTATCTCCCTGCCCTTACATTTCCCCTACATTGGGGTATCCAGCCTTCACAGGACCAAGGGTTTCCCCTCCCATTGATGCTCAACAAGGTCATCCTCTGCAACATAGGCAGCTCAGGCCATGGGTCCCTCCATGTGTACTCCTTGGTTAGTGGTTTAATTGCTGGGAGCTCTGGGGGGGGGGCAGGGTCTGGTTGGTTGATATTGTTGTTCTTCCTATTGGGTTGCAAACCCCATCAGCTACTTCAGTCCTTTCTCTTATTCCTCCATTGGAGAATTCATGCTCAGTCTATTGGTTGGCTGGCAGAATCTACCTCTGTATTTGTCAGACTCTGGTAGAGCCTCTCAGGAGACAGCTATATCAGGCTCCTGTCAGCACGTATTTCTTGACATCCACAATAGTGTTTGCATTTGGTGACTGTATATGGGATGAATCCTCAGGTGTGGCAGTCTTTGGATGGCTTTTCCTTCAATCTCTGATCCACATTTTGTCTCTGTATTTGTACCCATGTGTATTTTGCTCCCCTTTCTAAAAAGGACCAAAGCACCTAAACTTTGGTCTTCCTTCTTCTTGAGCTTCATGTGGTCTATGAATTGTATCTTGGGTATTCTGAGGTTTTGGGCTAATATCTACTTCTCAGTGAGTGCATACCATGTGTGTTCTTTTGTGATTGGGTTACCTTACTCAGGATGATATTTCCTAGTTCCATCCATTTGCGTAAGAATTTCATGAATTCATTGTTTTTAGTAGCTGAGTAGTACTCCATTATGTAAATGTACCATATTTTTTGTATCCATTCCTCTGTTGAAGGACATCTGGGTTCTTTCCAGCTTCTGGTAATTATAAATAAGGCTGCTATGAACATAGTGGAGCATGTGTCCTTGTTATATGTTGGAGAATCTTTTGTGTATATGCCCAGGAGTGGTATAGCTGGGTCCTCAGGTAACTTTGTCCAATTTTCTGAGGAACAGCCAGACTGCTTTCCATAGTGGTTATACCAGCTTGCAATCCCAACAATGGAGGAGTGTTCTTCTTTCTCCACATCCTCACCAGCATCTGCTGTCACCTGAGTTTTTAATATTAGCCATTCTGATTGGTGTAAGGTGAAATCTCAGAGTTGTTTTGATTTGCATTTCCCTGACTGTTCTTTCCAGCAGGGCATTAAACAGGGATCCGGGGAGATCACCTAAGAGAGGATGAAGAAAAATGGGCAAACAAAAGGAACATGGCTTGTCTATAGGCTGATCAAACCATAATTTTTACTTTTTTACACACAGGTTATATACACAGAAAGGCAGGATGTGGGGAAGGGGATGACGCAGGAGCGTAGGTGTTCAGGGGGAGTACAGATATCTCCCACAACAGAATGTCAGCTGGGTGAAGGTTCAGGGGACAGACCACTATGACTCCGCTTATGATTCACTTGTCTTTATTTAAGTTGGTACTATCCTCCAAGGTTACTTATCTACAGGCCTTATGACTAGCCAGTCTGGGCAGCCTTCCATCAAAGCTGCTGTTTACAATAACTCCCAGCTATCTGTTTCAGTATTTTTCCACAGAGAACCAAGACTTGATGCTAGCAGGCATGTATGTCAGGCCTATTGCTGATTTTAGGTGTATGGCTGATTTTAGGCCTTCAGTGTATAAGTAGGGCTGCCCCTGACACCTAACGACTAAGGATGTTGAACATTTCTGAAGGTGCTTCTCTGCCATTCGACACTCCTCAGTTAAAAATTCTCTGTTTAGCTCTGTACCCCATTTTTAACAGGGTTGATTCTCTGGAGTCTAACTTCTTGAAATATATATATTGAATATTAACTCTCTATTGGATGCAGGATTGTTGCACTGAGCAGACTTTGGGAGCTACCTCAGCACCCAGTCCCACAACACCCAGAAGAAGCATGACTCCCAGGTGCTTTAATATCTCCAGGATCATAGGTGAGAAGGCCACAAAGTGTGCCCCAACACCTCAACTGTGGGTGTAATTGGGACTAGTGGGATCCAGGGACACAGGAACCCTTGCCTGGCCAGTGGCATGGATTCCTTCAAGTCTGAGCTGGTGCTGTGAGCAGATCTTGGGTACTTTCTATGCACTCAGTCCCACAACATCCAGAGGAAGCTTGACTCCGAGGTGCTCCTAGAATCTCAGGAGCTTGGTCACACCAGGATTTCAGGATCCCAGAGGCGGTTTGACTCTTAGGAGCTCTGATACATCTAGGATCTCCGGATCACAGGATCCCAGAGACAGCTAGACTCTGAGGAGTTCTGACAAAACCAGGATCACAGGAGGGACAGGCTCTTGTCAGAAACAGCTAGAACAGGTAGCACTAGAGATAACCAGATGGCGAGAGGCAAGCATAAGAACATAATAATTATTTTTCCTATTAATTAATATGTAGAGATGTATAAATGTATATATGTATGCATGTATTTGTGTACATGTGTATGTGTATGTATGTGTATTCGTGTATATGTATGTATAAATGTATATGTATGTATTATGTATATATGTATATGCATGCCTATATCTTCTATTCAGACATGTAATGTTACTAGTACATATGTTTTTAGAGTCCATTATTTGGCTCTGGGCAACAAATAAATATGTTCTTTGGTGGGGAATATCACTTTGCCCACTCCTACAGGAGAAAGGCAACGAAGGTTTTTTTTTATGGTTTTTATAATTTATTTTTTCTCAAATCGTAATTCATTCACACAGGGGTTATAAACACAGAAAGGCAGGATGTGGGGAAGGGAATGACACTGGAGTGTGGGTGTTCAGGGGGAATACAGATATCTTCAGAACCGGGTATCGGCTGGGTGAAGGTTCAGGGGACAATTCACTATGACTCTGCCTATGACTCACTTGTCAGCTATCACACCTATGAACCACATTGACAACCACCCAGACCTGATAATCCTAAGGGGTACAATACTGGCACAAATTTATTGGTAGTAATTAACATCTCTCTCATTGGACTTAAGATCCACTTAAGAAGAGAGAAATCATGATGATTACTGGAAGCGTAGCTAACTACTAAGTCCTAATGAAGTCATGGTTATTAGAAGAGAATCTATAAACACTAACCTACTAAACACTCACAATCCCCGAAAACAATATAATTATTTTCCTTATAACCACAGATAAATATATTCCCCATCCCTCAACAAGTAATCTTCTCTTTGTAACAGATAGAGAAAACAACAATGAAAATACAAAATTGTGGGGCCCAATTTCAAGGGATATATCTACATAACTTTCCACAACTGAAGCTCTAGCACTATTGCAAGAAAGAGGGAGAAAAGACTGTGAGAGCCAGAGGATCAAGAAGTGTGTTGCATGATGGTGTGGCTTAGTAACATAAGAAGCTTTATTCCTAAAGTCTCTCCAACATGATAGTGAAACATGAGGTGATAAGAAAAACATACCATTGGACAACTCAAATACAGTGTTGGTTTTTTTTCCATGTTTATTATGTTATCTATAGCAAGAGCAGCAGAAAGAATGTGATTGAGACTTCTCTGTCTATGAAATCTGTCTCTAACAAAATATGAATTACCTAAAATAGAATAAAATTGTCAAATTATACAGCTTTTCTACTTTGTATTACTACTACTAATAAAATAATAGTCATTGTATCTGGGATGATGAAGGAAAGAATTTCCATTTATTTAACATGGAAAATAATTAATTGATTCAACTACATACATAGTCTCCGTTGATTTGGGTCTTATTTGGAGGGCTTGAAACTTTTGTTGACTAGGCTATCTTGCTATCTTGCTGTATTGCTCACATTTATTCTGTAGATAGGATATGACTGAGAAAAAAAGGCTCCACCAGCAGAGGTTCACTTTCCTTCAAACAGTTTGTCTTGGTACCACACCTTTCTCATGGCATTTTTCATGTCTGTATTCCTCAGTGTGTAGATGAGAGGGTTGAACAATGGGGCAATCATGGTGTAAAACAGAGCAAACACCTTGTCATCCCCAACAGAATCACCCATTGGGACATAGGTAAAGATGAGTGGCAAGAAGAACATGAATACAACAGTGATATGTGAGCCACAGGTAGAAAGAGCTTTGCGGCGGCCCTCTGATGACCTAGTCCTCAATATGGACAAAATGATGATGTAAGAAATGACCAAGGCAATAAAGGTCAGAATGGACAGAACTCCTGTTGTGGTAATGATTACAATTACCAGGAGTCCTGTGTCAGTGCAGGCGAGCTTCAGCAGTGGGAATATATCACAGAAGTAGTGGTCTATTTCATTGGTGCCACAAAAAGGAAGTCCGATAATAACCAATACATGCACAAGTGAATGTATAAAAGCACCAAAAACTGAGGCTATCACAAGGATGTAACATACCTGTCTGCTCATGGTGATCATGTAGTAAAGGGGTCTGCAAATGGCTACATAACGATCATAGGCCATGACCACCAAGATAAAAATCTCAGTGGCACCAAAGAAGTGGGCATAAAACATCTGGGTGATGCAGCCATTGTAGGAAATTGTGTTACATTGTACCAATAGGTCTATAATAAATTTAGGGGCCACTGTGGAAGTGAAGCAGACATCCATGAAGGACAGATAGCTGAGAAAAAAATACATTGGCTGCTCACTAAGCTGACTGCCCTTGATAGTGAGAAGAACAATCAAGTTTCCACAGAGAATTGCAAGATAGCAAAGCAAGAACAACACACCGCATATTGCCTTGACATCCTCATTATGGAAAAGTCCCAGCAATATAAATTCTGTGAGGTTTCCATATCCCATTGCTTTTGTGTGTTTGATTATTTAGAGGAAGTGGATGCTGTGCCTGAAGCATTGATCTCTTTGATTTCTTTTCAAAGTCTTTTATAACCTGCAAGTGTATGCACTGACTGTTTAAGATACTTCAATTGTAAATCTCTTACTACAGGTAAACCAATGTCTAAGTTGCCTGAAATACTTGAAAGCATAGTAAATTCATTCATAAGAACAGATACACAGAGTGACACTAGTAGAGTAAATATAGTCCAAATAATAAATTAATTTTAGTTGCTGGAGAAATTGCTAAACTTTACACTTGGTATGAACAAGGCAGATACTTTAAAAGTTAAACATTCTTAAATTCAAAACTGAGATACAAGTGGGCTCAAAATGTCACATTACACTCTTCATAGCAATCCCAAAGGTGATGTTGAAACCTACTATAAAAATAAATAATAAATATGATAAAAAGCAACTAGCAAAGTTTTAGAGAAGATGGTGGATTCTTGTCTGGGTTTTAGAGAGGCTATAACTTTCTAGATTTCACTTTATTTCCCAGTTCATTTTCCAGTCACATCTCGAGGGCTGGATGCTATCATTAATTGCTCATGTTCTAGCATTGTCTTGGATGTTAGCTCCTGCAGGGTCACAGCATATATCCAGAAGACTGCCTTTGGGTCACCTGTTTAAACAATATGCATCTTTAAATTGAACCACAAGTTTCTACTTCACAAGATTCTCTGCATGTACGTGATGAAAAATCTTAAAATATGTCAGTGAAAAGAAAAAAATAGAAAATATTTTCCTTCTTTTCTTATTTTCTGTAACTGTAATAGCTAGTACAAGAAGCTTTACAAAAGTAAATCAGTTATTCAACCTTATTCATGAATGAAAATATGACCACACTACAAAGAATTAGAATGGTGAGTGATCAATGTCCTTTGCCCTGTATGGCAGTACAGGAAAATCATCAGAGCAAGTACATTTGACACAGAAATAATTTATGGATAGAATCTTATGGATTGATTAATGTTCCACCCATTTAACTCAAGTTAATACACTCTATTCCTCAAATTTCTAAATTGTCACATGAGTAAAAGTATAGTTACAAATCTAAAATCAGGGAAATGAAAATTGAATAATAATGTCATATTATACTGAGTTGTTGGCATTTTCCACATGTAACTAAAAATATTTTTTAAAAACAATTTAATCATAGATTAGGTAATAAATATTCATCTTGTTAAAAGGACTCCACAAGAGGGGCAAAAGAGCAATCATTGCAGCCTTGTTAATGTTTGAAACAGGAAAAGGTCTAAATACATACAAATAACAAAGCAGAAATAGAATTTGTTGTATTATTACCATAGCATAAATAGTAGACACTGCAGTACATTAAATGAATCTATATGACAGTAAGGAGAATTATATATTGTAAGAACAAATATGTTACTATTTAGCACATTATCTCCTCCTTTACTAAGATAAATGTAATAGCAGAAGGACCCTATGCATTATAATCTGCAAATTGTCACATATGATGTAAACCATGTACTTTGAACCATAATGAGTTTCAAAGATGACCCAAATCTAATAATGAGTATCTGATAAAAACATATCCAACTAATTTTGATGAGTACCTGAGTGATTATAGATGAATTTTAAAAGATGTGGAAACTCATAGTTACATCTAAAGAATAAAATAGGTGATGATGAAAGGATATTATAATCAAACTAAATGTTAATTTTCTAACCAATGAGATTTTCCTTACTCCTTTAATGAAAAACTTAAACCCATTATTTTAATATGGCTTTGGAAAAAATACATTATATATCAGGTGTAATTTAGGTCAATAAAGAAGAAATCATAATCTTTCATTGAAATTTTGCAAATTCTTAAAGGCATTGTTTTCTATTATTTAACATATTATTTCTTCCTTTACTGAGATAAAGGTAGTAGCAGAAGGAACATCCTATGCATTATAATCCGCAAATTGTCACATATGATGTAACTATACGCAGATACACTCCTGTCTCACATATGCATCTCCAAAGAAATATTCCTCAAAAAGAAACAAGGAACAAATCTAATCACCACCCACATTTAGGATGGAGGAGATTGAATCACCATGTACTTTTTTTTTTATTGGTTATTTTATTTATTTACATTCAAATGTTAGCTTCCTTCTCAGTTTCCCCTCCACAAACCCCCTATCCTAGCCCCACTCTCCCCTGCTTCTAGGAGGGAGCTCCCACCCACCCACCCACCCACCCATTTCTCTCTACTTTTAAATCGTTAATAGCATTTGAATAAAATATGTGATTTCTTAGATATGAAGTTGACATTGACGATTCAAAACAAGTTGAGAAAAGGATGATATTCAGTTTTGGACTGTCACGTTCTTGTTCAATTTTTTTTTTTTATTTTGCTCACATGAATTATTCTCTTCAGGAAAAATCTTTGTCAATTAACTTCTAAGACAAAATCTTTAGCAGTATCTACAAGGAAAAAAATGCCAGCATTATGATTATGCTGCTCCTTTGCATAGAATCGGCTTTGATTTTCTCATATCATATATAGTACTAAGCTTTGATAATTCTCATGTAGAGTTATACTCGATAATATTTTATATCACAGAGGAATCATCTCAAAAATATTCAAACAGCCTAGTGTAGGCACATGTCTCTAATATGTTGTAAGAACTAACTAAAATGAGCTATTTTTGTGTGTGAGGAGGTGAAACTTCATCTTTTTTAATTGGCTTATTTTTAAAAGGAAAAAAATTTAAACATTTCAGAGGGATTTTTAAAACAAGGGAAGGCCTGAGGATATTTTTCTTCAGCAATTTTATGATTCTAAATATGGATTTATATAGAAGTTATAGGCTATTTTGAGAATTAATTCTGAGTAAAAGGCTTGTATTAATATGAACACAGAGAGGACAACCCTGAAGTCATGGATGGAGGAACGGAAATCAGGTGACAAATTTACTCAAGAAAGTTTAACACCTACAAAAATAGCCCCTCTATGCAGAATAATCAGACCAAACACTTGCAGAAGATAATATTTTCCTCTCTCTCCTGGGATATGTATTAGATTATTTACATATTTGTGGGATTTACTGTGTACATTTGTATATTGTTTCTTGATTTACTTGTTTATATTATTTTCAAATGTTTGACTTTATCATCACTTTTCTATTTTAAGTAATTAAAACTATATCTTCACTTCCCTTCAAATTCTATTCCAACATTTCTCATTCCAAAATTTAAAATTAAGACTTCAACAACTTATTCCTATGACATATTTTTCTATTGGAAAGCATCCACTAGAATTTTCTCACAGACTACTAAAATATGAAGTTAGGATACGAATGGAATGGATTTAAGGTTATCAAATCAGTTATCAGGCAGCTATATTTTCAGAATACATGGTTCATGAGAATTACTATTCTACTGGAAAACAAGAAAATAAGAATTGATTATACTGTAACTTTTATTTACAGTCAAAGTATTTTTTTAACGCAAAGAAAAAACAAGATGATATAAAGTAAAATAAGAAAAGCTTACACTTTCAATTTTGGCCAATTCCTAAGAGTCTTTGAAATAATATCAGTTCATTACAATAAACTTTAAAAATATATTCTAACACAAAATAACAAGTAGATATTTCTAGATGTGAAAGTGAAATCAAATAAGCAGTATGCTCAGTGTACTTGTTGAATTATAGTTAAATTGTATCTTTAGCACTTACTCTGTGAATACTAAAAATGTGAATAAGAGACGAGTCAGATTCATGTGAAAAATGGGTGATGCATCCCGACTCATTGCCCTTGTCTTCCTTCTCTGTGATGATGACGCTTCAAGCCCAGTCCTACAGGGCTCAATGTTTCCAGTGAAGCTGCAGTCCAGAAGAAGAGAATTTAAGGAAACTGGAGAGACTTGGATGAAATCCCACCTGACACTCCCCAAGGACATTCTGGGAGTAATACGTCAAAAATAAACTCATGTTCATTTTAACTATCCATGTTTAGCTTTTCACGTGTACTTTTAAAACAGTTCAAATGGCTTAACTATATGACACCCCATACCATAAGATTCATGTTATGGGGAAAATGTATTCTAAAATATTTTCTACTGTGTATACGGAAATTAAATCTTTACACATTCATTAAACCTTGAAAGCCTTCCTGACTGAAGAGGCTTAAAGTCTATTAATAGTAAGCACATTTGTTAATTCCTTAATATAACTAGGGTCAAACTTATATGCACTCAATTGAAATTCCTTATAAGATACACCTCTTACAATGTCATTCCATGCACCAGTGTTTACACTATCCATTTTTTTTCAGATTATGTGAGTTTCTTTCATGTGGTATTTTCTATCTCATTTTGCTTAATACTATGTTTTTTTTGAAATTTTTATTTTTAATTATTTATTTTATTGCTTAAGATTGTAATTACAGCATTCCCCCTTTCACTTTCACTCTCCAAACCCTCCCATATACCCAATCATTTGAATTCTTTACTACCTTTTTTATTAATGTTGTTAAATTCATTGTGTGTCCGTATACATACATATTTCTAAATACATAAATATAACCTGCTCAGTCTGTATATAGTTAGTTGTATTTCTGTATCTAGGCAACTATTTGGTATGGGATCACTAGTTGATAATAGTCTTCCTTGGAGTAGACTATTTTTCCCAACTCCCAGTGCTCCTTAGTTTCCAGGATTTTTAACAGACATCTTATTGATTTTCCCATGCTTTTTAGGAAATTATTTAAAAGATATATTGGCAAAAATAAAAGTTATAATTTTAAAGACTCATTGCAATATGAATTTGTAGTTGGATTTTACAAGAATTTTTTTTTATTAAATGTATATACTTTGATTTAATGAATGGTATTTCGTTGTTGTTGTTATTTGCATCCGGGCTCTTTTAAAAGAGCACACTCTTATGGATTTGTTAGAGCTAGATTATTTTTTGAAATTACTTTATTTATTTACGTTCTTGCTTCTCCTGGCTCCCCCTTCCACAGTTCCTCATCTGATTTCTCCTCGTTCGTGC